TGGGAATAAATAAATATAAAAAATAAATAAACGCATGAATAAATACATTTAAAAATAAATAACTAATACATACATAAATTAATTAAATATAAAAAATAAATGAAAGAATAAGTAAATAAATGTAAAAATAAATACAGAAAATAATACATAAAGGAAAAAGTTAATAAAAATAAAATAAGGATTAAATTTTATTACTAATGAACTATATTTGTTTTTATCAAGACATTTAATTATTTTTTTATCGTCATGTTATTACATATATTTATTTATTTATAAATTTACATTTAATTAACCATGATGTTTTAAAGCGTGGTTAATAGTGAAATCGGTTAATCGCCGCATCCCTAGCCATATCTCCAGTAATCTTAGTACGATGAGATTTAAATAATGCAATGCAATCCAGTGCTGATTGAGAGCTGACGAAATAAAGGCTCCTCAGAAGATGTGAGATGTTCTGGAGGCTTGTGAAGATCATTCCTCCGCTGAGGAACAGTGAAAGTAAAGCTTCTGGAAACAAACGCTCCTCAAAAGATCCTGAGGATCAGATTTGAGACTCTAAAACATGATTGATGGAGAATCAAGTAAAGCTGAGCTGCTTCAGTCCAGTAAGAGTTCATCTGGATATAATATATATATTTTTTTTTTGTAGACTATGTTTGGAATGAAACACATGCATACTGCCTACTGCAAATGTACTAAAATAATTTTTGGAGACAAAATAATCAGATAATATAACTTTGTTGTATTATTTTTGTGATATCCCATCCTATAGATCGCCGGTAGAGAGATTGAGATTGACAACGATCTGAAGCCGCTGGAGTTTTACTCCGTGGAGGACGGCGACAGAATTCTGGTGCGCTGGTCCTGAAGAAACCGCAGGGAATTGTGGGACATTCGAGTCCATCAGCTTCGGCACTGACCACTGAAACGCTCCACGGATCACGACAGAAATGATCTCCACATTTGTGTTCACGATTATAGCACAACGTCATTCCTCCAGAAAACAAAGCATATAGAGCATGAAGTTTAGTTTGGGTCCTTCAATGTCTGTTCAAATCATTACAGTCTCTCGCCACCAGATGGCGCAAATACTCCAGAAAGACGCTTTATCTTAAGATCACGTGAATCTCATAAAGAAATGTACTGATCAATTTCACCACAATATCGTTTTTTGTTTGTTTTTCACAATAAAATAAAATAAACCGAGTACAACATACTGCAGAACTGTACTTTCATGTGATGTTTAAATTATAAAGTAAATTTGTAAAAGCATTGTCTCATGTTAACAAAAGGCAACTGAAAATTGTTTAAATGTGCTTAATTGTCATTTAAAAAATGCCAAAATATTATTAATAATAATAGCCTTTTTTTAAATTATAATTCTTTTGGGTAAAATGACCAGGATTTTCTTGACATAATTCATGAAGTATAATTAAATATCAAATAAACACAGTAACATGTTAAATGTATGTTTGCAAATCTGTGAGGTCCGAATCATTAAAAAGCTACATTCTGTCCGAAAAGAACAAAATTGAACTAATAATAATAGCCTTTTTTAAATTATGATTCTTTTGGGTAAAATGACCAGGATTTTCTTGACATAATTCATGAAGTATAATTAAATATCAAATAAACACAGTAACATGTTAAATGTATGTTTGCAAATCTGTGAGGTCCGAATCATTAAAAAGCTACATTCTGTCCGAAAAGAACAAAATTGAAGTAATGAGCGAGTAAAACGAGTGTTTTTGCCTTACCCTAAATCACTATTTTATAAGCCTATAATAATTATTTATATTTTAGAGCTGTCGGGCCGGATTTCCCGGGAAACTGCATACTCACTTTTTCCTTGAAAAAAAAAAAAATAATAAAAAAAAAAGGTTATTGATACTTTTTAGTCTCACAATTCTGACCTTTTTCTCATAATTGCAAATCTATCTCCCAATTCGGACTTTTCTTCTCAGAGTTATAAGCTCTCAGGTCTGACTTTTTCCCTCAGAATTGTGAATTTATATCTCCCAATTCTGACTTTTTTTCTCAGAATTGCAAGAAAAAGTCCCAATTGTAAGATATAAACTCAGAAATGTAAGAAAAAAGTCGCAATCACGTTATTACTATTATTATTCCGTGGCGAAACCCTTCCTCAGGAAAGCGTCAGAAAGCGTAATAAAACCGGAATCAACATATAATAGAATCACATTCGCTGCGCGGTGACTGGGTTCTCAGATCAATGTTTATGTTGGTAACGATGCCAATCTATAAACCAGTTACTGCTTTGGTGTATTCTCCTACAAACAGCTTTGCTAAGTTATAGTTTCCATCGTTATCTGATATGAAGCAATGTCAGCATGCCAAAATTTTTAACATTATTTTAAAACAATTGATTTCAAAACAACTTTGACATATAAACTCTTACCTGCTCATATTTTTTGGATATCCGTCTTTCTTTCGTTTCGTTTCGTTTCGTTTCGTTTCGATGTCGTTAGTGAAACTCGCGCTGACAAACATCAGATTCATCCGCGCAGAATCGCGGAGCCGAAGCACAACTCACGTGACGACCAAAACAATCTCCCTCCGCGAGTTACTCGGTATTTTGTGCTTCAACCGCTCTAGAGACCAAAGCTACACTAGCAGTCAAACGTTTTTTGAACAGTAAGATTTTTAATGTTTTTTAAAGAGGTCTCTTCTGCTCATCAAGCCTGCATTTATTTGATCCAAAATACAGCAAAAGCAGTAATATTGTGAAATATGTTTACAATTTAAAATAGCTGTTTTCTATGTGAATTAAACTGAAATAATAATAAATGTTTTTATCAGCATATTAGAATGATTTCTGAAGATCATGTGACACTGAAGACTAGAGTAATGATGCTGAAAATACAGCTGCGCATCACAGAAATACATTACAGTTTAACAGAGATTCACATAGAAAACAGCTGTTTGAAATAGTAAAAATATTTCACAATATTACTGCTTTTGCTGTATTTCTGATCAACTAAATGCAGGCTTGGTGAGCAGAAGAGACTTCTTTAAAAAAACATAAAAAATCTGAAAAAGTTTTGACTGCTAGTGTACATAGTGCACCAAAAACATCAGTCTTTCACATAATTAATTTATTATTAAACGTCTTATGTAAACTCATATCAAGGGTGCAGAGTTTAGTAGAGTCGCTATGACATGTCCCTACCAATATCAGCACTACTAGAATAATTTGGATCAATCAATTAAATGTCTGTTGTCTGCTGTTATGTCCCCATCAAAGCCACAATCAAACTTGACTCATATAGTCCCGTGTGTGTGTGTGTGACGAGACCGTATCATCTAGAGCTCCGCGTGAAGTCAAACATCTGCAGCGTGTCTGAAAATCTGCAGCAGGAGACACAGATCATCCAAAGTCTGAAATGCATGGAAACTTGCCAAAAAAAATAAACATAGCTGTCAGACCCACCGGTAAGCTTTTAGAAGTTAAAAGGCCAATTTCTCATGTTTCCATGCGAGTCTGATCTGAAGAATGAGACTGGAGGAATAAAACACCACAGACTCGAACCTCTTAAAAAAATGTGTTTTAATTGAACAGCTGTACAAAACACAGTCTCTCTCTTCCTTCCTCTCTCCAGCTGTTTTCACAGCCGCCCGCCGTCCCATCATGCAGTGTGTAAACAAATAGTGATTTCTCATTTGAGGCTCTCGTCCAGATGGACCGTCTGAGTGTAAACGTCACATAAAACGACCTGATTATCGGTCCCCGAGCACCAGAGAGGAAATACAGAGCCCATAAAGATGATATAGTTTTGATATTTACAATAAACAAAAAGAAAATCTTCGTTTGGCATTTTAAAAATCAGATTAAAATATCATTGTAAGTAATATTTCGCCTAAATCAGATAATATCCATCCCAGAATGCAACCAGTAAAATCATATTTATTGATCTACCTATCAGCTAAACTGTCAAGCTGGATTCAGATTCATGTTTTCAAGTGGTTTTAGTAGGAATGCACCAATACAGACTTTATAAATGAATATTTGTTTTGAAATAGTTTCATTCCATCAATTAGTCATTATATATCAGCATTTTGTAATTAAAACCAAAATGTTATAACGGTTAACCACTAATAAAGACAAACAATATTGTTTTATTAACAATTATCAATATACTTGTTGATATTATACATATTTAATATTTTACCTGCTTTAAAAAAAAAAAGTTTCACATTAGAAATGCAATCTAGAATTTTTCATGCGAAAAATGAATACATCAAAAAATATAAATGTGCAGTAGAAAATATGCGGAACTATGGAAGCTTGTTTCCGACATAGAGATAAATTTTTTAAAAAAGAAATAAATATTTCTTAGAATTGCGAGATATAAACTCAGAATTGTGCTATAAACTCGCAATTGTGAGAAAAAAGTCAGAATTGTCAGATAAAAAGTCACAGTTGCCTTTTAAATATTTTTTATTCTGTAAAGATTTGCGAAATGGAAACTCAGAATTCCAAAAAAAAGAAAAAAGTCAAGATTACGCAATTGAACGTTTATAACTTGCAGTTGAGAAATATGAACTCACAATTGTGAGGAAACAAAGTAAAAATTGAGCTAAAAGGTCACAATTACCTTTTTAATGTTTTTATTCCATGAAAAAAAAAAAAAACAGAATTGCATGATATGAACTCAGAATTTTGAGGGAAAAGTCAGAATTGCGAAAAGTAAACTCCGAATTCTGATTAAAAAAAGTCAGAATTGCAAAAATTTTACTCAGAATTGCAATAAAAAAGTCAGGATTGCGAAAGTAGACTCAGAATTGTGATAAAAGTCAGAATTGCGAAAAGTAAACTCAGAATTGCAATGATAAAAAAAGTCAAAATTGCAAAAATGTAAACTCAGAATTGAAAAAAGCAAACTCAGAATTGCAAAAAGCAAACTCAGAATTGCGATTAAAAAGTCAGAATTGCAAAAATTTAACTCAGAATTCCGATAAAAAAAGTCAAAATTGCAAAAATGTAAACTCAGAATTGCAATAAAAAAATTGCGAAAAGTAAACTCTGAATTCTGATTAAAACAAGTCAGAATTGCGAAAATGAAACTCAGAATTGCAATAAAAAAGTCAGGATTGAAAGAGTAAACTCAGAATTGCACAAAAAAAAATTTGCGAAAAGTAAACTCAGAATTAGGGCTGGGTAAAAAATTCTGATATCTCGATATTAATCGATTCTCATTTTTACGGAACGATACCGATTCTTAAATCCCAAGAATCGATTAGTCTAGCCTGTGTTCAGTTAATGGACGGAACGTTGAAGGGCACCTCCCATCCAATAAACCCTAACCCTAAAAGCTTTGGTACTTTTAATATGAAACAAAGTCTCAGATTTCAAATTCTGTCCATTGTATTGCAGTATTCAAACAATAAATGCCGTTTTGGCGCCGTTTAATGTGGAGCGCCTCAGTTCAACAGACGCGGCAACGCGTAGCACACGTGAACTGATCATCTCCTCCACATTAATACCAGTTTCAGCACAAAATAAACATGACTAAACATCCGAAGGTAAGTAAAAAAAAAAAAGAGTACAACTTTACAATCCGTATCTTGTCTCATGTAATCTCTCAATCTGTGTTTCAGCCTTAATATAAAGTCACGTAAACAATGTCACGTAACGTCACATTTACCTCAGAAAAACATATTCGGTGACCATAAACTCATTAGTCAGATAGAAAAATAAACTGTAGAGAGGGGCATTTTGCTAAATATATGCACCATATACCATATTCATTATAAATTTTACTGTTCTTCAATGTCAATGTTTCATCAAGTTTTTATGACAGCCACCATTATGTTTATATAAATAAAAATTAAAAAAACGAATTGAAGTAGAAATATTATTATGTAATTGTAACTGTTTCCTTGAAAATTTGGCATGTACTGTACCTGACATGTATCCAAATTAATCGATATTGAATCGAATCGGTAATCGAATCGAATCGAATCGCAAGCTTGTGAATGCGAATCGAATCGTGAAATTTGTGTCAAAACCCAGCCCTACTCAGAATTGCGATAAAAGTCAGAATTGTAAACTTTACCTTTCTAATTTTTTATTCTGTGACGAAAACAAGCTTCCATACGGAACTGTTCAGTACTTTCAAAAGACTTTGAGAAAAGTGAATCCCTGATTTAATCTTGTGTCTATTATCAGCCTCACCGGACTGACACAATGACGAAGAACACTGATAGCGGCAGATGCGATATGAATATATCGAGTGCATCCCTACTGTATTGATTGTCTCGACCCGAGCCATAAGGAACACAAATCATTCCCTCCTCGGTTCTCAGTGTCTCTCAGTCTCACGTAACCTCAGAAATTCTCGTCCTGCTCGACACACGAGCCGTCTCTGGCGTCGGGACAGCGGCAAGTGAATCCGCCCGGCCGCGGCAGACAGAGATGAGAGCAGCCTCCGTTATCACGAGAGCAGTAGTTCACGCCTGCGGACCAGTCATGTGATTAAAATGAGTTCAGAAATTACAGTCGTTTATGATGAGAATAGCCTGAGCTCAGACCTGCAGGGCATTGTGGGTAAGTGATAGCGATGCCGTATGTACGTGAACGTCTCTGAGGAAGAAACTCCTCCACCTCCATCCCATCATGACGGTCCATAGCAACCACTGCTTCCCTAGCAACAAAACAAAAACACAGGATCACCACAATGTTCAAAACTATACTGTATATATCATAAATTACGCAAACACTTCAACAATATAAACCCATAATGGATGGATTAACCAAATTCTCTTTCATGAGCAATGTCAACTAACCAACCAATGAATTAAGTAGCTCATAAAAATGTAAAATTGAAATACATTTTTAAAAATAAAAACAATCAAAATAAGACATTAAAAATAAATAATAAAATCAAAATAAGACACTTACTAAAATAAAAAAATATATAAAAAATATTAAATTAAAAGAAATAATAAAAACAAAAACAATCAACTAAATAACAACTAAAACAATCAATAACAACTAATTCATACAAATGTAAAATTAAAAAAAAAAATTTAAAAATAAAAAAAATAAAAATAAGACACTAAAAATTAATTAATATTAAAATCTAAAATTAAAATAAATAATTTTAAAATAAAAACAATAATAATAAAACACTCACTAAAATTAATTTATC